TCACCATGAGTTGGCATTGACACGAAGGCAGTGGGTTTGTTTTTTTGGAGGAGAAAGTCAGGTCTAGTTTAGAAGTGAAGTCAAGTGTTAATAAACTTCGTTCTTTAATTAAAAATATATCTTCTAGTGTTATTCTTAGAGATTGAGAGGATGGAAATAATGTCAGAGGCTAAGTGGAGTTTGCACTAGGGAGATGGAATTAAGAGTGAAAGGAAGATAGGCATCTGAGTGATGTCTGTTGAGAAGAAAGTGGCACTCTGACAAAGAATAGAGAGTGTGCTTTCAAACTATTCAGTTAAACCTCATGGCCAATCCAGTTAATGGTGGAGATATGCAGACAGGGAGCAAAGGGAAGTGGTTAGGAGAGATGGGTGAAGGGGATACTGGAGTTCTTTGTATTCTTCTGCAACTCTCGTCTACATATGAAACTGCTTCAAAACAAATTGTTTTCGAAAGCACATGAATTTATTTCCACTATTTGTCTTGTGGGATTTTGACAGTGAGGAAGGTCTCTCTGTGTGTCTTCAGGTCATGTCCATTCTTCTGCATGGAGATGCTGCATTTGCTGGCCAGGGCATTGTGTATGAGACTTTCCACCTGAGTGACCTGCCATCCTATACCACACATGGCACTGTGCACGTGGTTGTCAACAACCAGGTAACTTCAAGGCTCACATAGGCAGCCCTCACGTGGCTGTCTTCGCAGTGGTGAGGGCAAAGGAAATGTTCTTCGCTTTACCCATTGCGTCTGAATGTCTTATTATTATATGTTCTCTTGCTGATTCTGTAACCACATCAGTGTTACCATTGGTATCTCTTCATTATGTAGAATTATTATTCCTTTCCAATTAGAAAATATATTATAAAAAATCAATGAAGAAATTTCCAGAGCTAATAAGGAATGTAGCAAAATTTCAAAGTACAAGATCAGCAATTGGTTCTATGTAACAGCACTGAGAAATCTGAAATGAAAATTAGGGAAACAATAGCATCTAAGCAAAAAAAATACTTTAGGAATAAATCTAACCAGGGAAGGTATGAAACACTGCTCAAAAGAGATTAAAGAACATTTAAATAAATGGAAGATTTTCCATGTGTGTGGTTGAGATAACTTTATTGTGAGATGTCAGTACTGAAAGCGATCAGTATATTCGATACAGTCCTGATAGAAATCCCAACAGCCTCTTCACAGAAATAGAAAAGCCAATCCTTAACTTTATATGGAATAGCAAAAAACCTCAAACAGCTAAAACAATGTTGGAAGGGAGAAAGAGGGGAGGGGGTTGAACTTTGTTCAAAGAACTCATTATGTGTTCAATGTAGCACTATTCACAATAACCAAAAGGTAGAAACAACATAAATGCCCATCTACAAATGAATGGATATACAAAATGTACAATGGAACATTAATCAGTAGGATATGAGTTGTGGTACATGTTACAGTGTGGATGGAGCTAGCAGACATAATGCTGACTGAAGTAAGTCAGTCATAGCAGGACACATTATATGACCTCACTTTTAAAAAAATAAATGAATAAGTGAAGCCAGATGTACACAGAAAAAAATGTTTAGTAATTACCAGGGACAGCAGGGAGGAAGAAAAGGGGATATAGTGATCAAAAGTCACGTTGATTCAGCGTAACGTTATACAGCCAATTCTTATAGCTGTCAGTTGTACATGTGGGAAATGTTGTGTGATAGGTTACTGCAACCATAAAAAGAGTGCTTGCTTATGCATAACCAGACACCGCATGCAATTTGACTCCTTGGTTTGCTGGTCATGGTCTCATGGAACTCCCATTCACTTGGTAACATGTTTAAGGAGCCCTGGTGGTTCGGTGGGTTAAGCATTGGGCTGCTCACCAACTCCCCAAGAGGAAGATGAGGCAGTCTGCTTTGCAGCCCAGGAAACCCCATGGTGCAGGTCTACTCTTCTCACAGCATGGCTGTGAGTTGGAAGAGACTCAGCACAGAGGTGGGTGATAGCACGTTGAGCACCTCTGTACCACCTCCAAATTTACTGTGTAGTGTTTGGGTCTGAAAAAGCTCACAAGCTGCCGTCTGAAGCATAGTTAGTCTCAGTCCAGCCAGAACAAAAGAGAACAAAGGTGAGTCGGGAATAGGAGGAGAGTCTGATGGAATGCGGGGCTAACTGCCATCAGCAGCAGCTCCTTTGCTCCTACCACTACTGGATGGTACCTAGCTACTATTAAAGGACATGTTCATGAGGTTCTATAGAAAACCTGACCAAAAGATAACACGCAGATCAGAATTTCAAGTCCTCACGAATTCTGAACTTTCAGAAACCATGTTGCCTGGATGACCCCTGAGAAGAACTGCCTTGAGATAATCTTTAAACAAACAAACAAAAAACACCCTGAAGTCAGGTTAAATCTGAACAATAAGTATGGTGAAAGGATACAACCTGATGCGCAATGAAGTATTGGAGTTGCCATTCTTTTCATTGTTATCTGTAGTTGGCTATGGATCCACATAGTTGAATGCCTTTGCATAGTCAATAAACACAAGTAAACATCTTTCTGTTGTTCTCTACTTTCAGTGAAGATCTATCTGATAGCCTGTTGCCACTGCACATAGTTGTGATGTCTTACCTTTAATACATTGGACAGGTTCAGTTTACTCATAATTTTGGTGAGGATTCTTGTGTATGTTCATGAAGGGAACTTACTGGTCTGTAGTTTTTGTGATGGCTGTCAGATTATGATACCAGGGCAATGATAAACTGGTTGGAAAATGTTTCCTGTTCTCCTTCTCCCCCTCTTTTCATTGTAATTCTTGGTGAAAACATGTACCAGTTCAACATTTGAGATACCGTATATACTCGAGCATAAGCAGACCCTAATATCAGCCAAGGCACCTAATTTTGCCACGAAAACTGCATTGAAATGTGCTGAAAAACTCGGTTTATATACGAGTATAGCTGGTCTGCACAGTTCCGTGACACTGACTTTCATTCCTCAAGTTGTGCGACCACGCTGGCATTGTACGTAAACAGCACAGCGTTGTTGTTGTCATAAAACCAAACCCAGACACACTGCCATCGAGTTGATGCCCATCAGGGTGACCCCATAGGACAGAGCAGAACTGCCCTGTGGGTTCTCTGAGACCAACTCTTTACAGGAGTAGAGTGGCTAGTGGTTTCAAACTGCTGACCTTGTATCTCCAAAGCCACTGCTGCGGAGCCAGTTCCAACACAGGACAGGACAGTTGCATTGTCCATAGGGTTTTCCAGATGAAACCTTCATGAGAACAGACTCAGAAAACCCGACTCCTCGCTGCCATCAAGTCGACGTCAGCTCATGGCGAACCTCTGGGACAGAGAACTGCCCTCCTGGGTTTCTGAGACTGTCTTTGCAGGCGCAGAAAGCCCCTCCTTCACCAGTGGAGCTGCTGGTGGTTTCAAACTGTTGACCTGGTGGTTAGCAGCCCCATGTTTACCCAGCACACCATCTGAGTGCCTTACGTCTGTCCACCCACAATGCTTGCCAAGCCAGCCTTTCTCAGATAGATGACTGTTTTTTTGTGTGTGTGGTTTTTTTTTTCTTTTTTAACATTTTATTAGGGGCTCATACAACTGTTATCCCAATCCAT